AATCCGACTATTGTGGCCCGTATGTATGGTTTTTAATTCATGTTGAATGTATGCTATATTTAAAGCCTTTGACATGTCAAGGAATTTTTGGGTTGGTGAATGCTTGTAATAAATTATTCGCGCGGTGGGACACCGCATAGTTTATTGCTTTCATAGAAACTCATGTACGGCTCCTGCGTGGGTCATAGGATGAATTATGTAATTGTTGTTTATATTATTCATTGTTGATCTGGCTGGCGTGGACCAACCTTGACGGGGCGAGGCACAAACACGTACACGGATACCATGGTGATGATCCAATGGCGACTTTCCCGGAGACGACCAATTCAATGGGAGTCACTGTGAAAGAGGGAGTTCCAATACCCGAAACGGAGAACACACTCAACAAGGACAGGACTGTTTTTCTCCGTAACATTGGAGATTGATTAATGGCCATGATAGTTGGATTATAGTTCCTAGTTTATTATTGCTCATTAATCATGCATGTTTTACGTGATTGCTTATGTGCAAATACAAACATGTTAAGAAAATCCCATAAACTAAAAATTATATTAAGTGTGTAATGGGTTGAAATAAATTACATCCAAGGCCTCCATTATAGGTTTGTCAGTGAAGTGATTTAATTCGAGCCCAAAGGACATTTTATTTCACGGTTCACAAGGACGAATCTCCTTCGGGATGGTTATAGTGAGCTATTTCAAAAGCGTACGGGTCACCCAAAGGTGGACGTATAATTTTGGTAGTAAACTTAGTACCAATTAATGGGTTACGCTTAAAGTTCAAATAATTAGATAGTCCCAAAGTACAAGGTCGTTTTTTATTCTTTTATAAAGATTATTCTTTTAAAAGTTAATTGCGATGGCCAAAAGATGAAACCGACTATTAGTTGAGTACTGTTGGGCAGTATGTCAAGCTAATGGGATTTATCCCTCCTCTTGCGAATGTTTGAGCCGTAGACGTCCACACTCAGTGGCCTGCGGGGATTCGATGTTTTGAGGTGTTGGTGAATTTATTCAAATGTTGTTTTAATGGGATAATATTTGA